TTTTTTAATGTGTGTGTTAGGTTAGGTTTTGTTGTTTTTTTAAGACAGTCTCACTCCATCACCCAGGCTGGAGTACAGTGGTGTGATCTTGGCTCACTGCACCCTCTGCCTCCTGGGTTCAAGCAATTCTCCTGCCTCAGCCTCCCCGAGCAGCTGGGACTACAGGTGCATGCCACCACACCCAGCTAATTTTTGTATTTTCAGTAGAGATGGGGTTTCACTATGTTGGCCAGGCTGGTCTTGAACCCCTGACCTCGTGATCCACCCACCTCGGCCTCCCAAAGTTCTGAGGTTACAGGTGTGAGCCACCACACCAGGCCAATTTTGTATTTTTAGTGGAGATGGGGTTTCACCATGTTTGTCAGCCTGGTCTTGAACTCCTGACCTCAGGTGATCCATCCGCCTCAACCCCCCAAAGTGCTGGGATTACAGGTGTGAGCCACCATGTCCAACTGCGTTACTTGTTTTTGTCTGGGGTGCCCAGGAAGGGGGCCCACTCTCTGACCCTGCCAAATCTTGGAGAAGGGGTTCATGGGTACAGATTTCTGAGGTCAGCCCTGGCTCCCACCAAGGGCACAAGGCACCCTAGACAGCTCTTCGTGGCTGCATCCCCTGCTGGTTCCTGGTCCCCTGCCACTCATCCCCATGTCACCATACCCTTCACTAGAGGACACAGAGAGCTTGGTGTCCTGGTGCAGAATGGTGCCATGACCTTGCCAGGCAGTGATGGTGCTCCCTGATGAGAACCAGAGAGAGGATGCGCTGATGAGGCTCAACAGAGCAGCCCTGGAGCTGTGCCAGAAGCCAAGGCCACTGCAGTCCGACCTCCTGCACCAGATGTGGTAGGTGCCCTGCCGGGAGAGCCGCCCCATCACATTCCCTCTGTGGCATCCACAGGGGTCCTGGGCAGGCAGTCCTGGGACTCCAGGAGTTCGAGCTTCCCTTGAGCTCGGGTTGCTAGAGCATGCTGCAAACATTCCATGTTCTGGAACCCTGCAGTGTCTGCTGCTCACTGGAGAGCAGTCACAGTAGAGCAAACACCTTATCTTTTTTTTCTTCCTCTTTTTTCCTTGTTCCTTCTCAATGAGCAGAGGAATGAAAAAAGAAAACTCCAGAGGGCAGAGAGAAGAGGGGGGCAGATTCCATTAAAAGCTTCACTTCTCTGCTGTCACCCTCCCCAGAGCCTGTTTGGAACTTGCTTGTATAGGCGTGGTGTCCTTTTCAAGGCCCTCAGGACAAGCCCCAGGAGCCTTATGCTGGAAGTCTCACACAAGGTTCAGCCCCTCCAGTGGGACTGGGCCCAAGTCTGGCCATGGCCTCCAGCCCTCTGAAGTAGGACTGAGTTCATGCAGGTCTCCTAACCCTAGTCCTGAGCCATTTTTTTCTTGGCTGCCACCCAAGGCAAGCCAGAACCCTGTCCGAGCACTTGCCCTGGTGGGGAACAGTGAGGATGCTGGCTGCTCAGGGGTGTGGCATGTCCATGGCAGCTCCTGGCACCAGGGTCTTTGAAAGGAGGGACCCAAGCCTCTGCAGTTTCAAGGACAAATGAGGAGTGACAGCATTTCTCCACTACATCTTGCCCTCTAGTTTGCAGCTGTGGCGAGAGGTGATTGACAGCCTGGTGAGCCATTCCCTGTGGCTGAGGGCTCTGCTGGGCCTGCCTGATAAGGAGACCATCTATTTGAATGTGCCCGAAGAGCAAGGTCAGATCTTGTGCAACCAACCACACCTCTGCGTAGCCCTCCCCATCTCTCTGCATGGATGGCAGCAGTGCCTGGGCCAGTCATACTCATGGTGGAAGCTCTGCTAGGTTGAGACCATGGAGTGGGTTCTTTCCCCCCTTCTATCAGCTGCCAGGATGTGGTACCCAGAAGCTACCCTTAGTGACCACATTGGTTTAGTAATCCCAGCAAAGTTAAATGACTTATCCATGGCCATTCATGGCAGAGCTGAGACCAGAACCCAGGCACCACAGTCCTGTTTCATGAAGCCACGCGCCTGCCAGGGCTCAAGGCTATTACTCTTTCTTTGCTTTCCACCTCCCCTCAAGCCTCCTCACTAGGTTGGGGGCCTACCACATTTTCTTCCACCCACCTCCCTTAGATCAAAAGTCACTTCCCATCACGGAAGTGAAGGTGCCTGCCGGGAAAGTTGGGAAGGAGGAGCGGAAAGGAGCGGCCCAGGAAAAGAAGCAACTGGGGATCAAAGACAAAGAGGATAAAAAAGGAGCCAAGCTGCCCGGGAAAGAGGCATGCTGGGGCATGGGCTGGGCCGGGTGGGGCTGGGGAAGGGACTGGAGGGGCTGTGGGGGTGGGGGCTGCGGGGGTGAGGGCTGCAGAGGTGGGCATGTGCTCAGGTTCTCCCAGTGAGCTGCTGTTGAGGACGTCCTGGGCCTACCTCTGGAGCTCCTGAAAGCTGTGTGTCTCCCTCTCCCAGCAGGACCGTCCCAACAGCAAGAAGCACAAGGCAAAGGACGACAAGAGAGTCATAAAATCTGCAAGTCGGGATAGGTTGACCTTGGAAGACCCTACCCCTGACATCATCCTCCCTTCTCAGGAACCCATAGACCCCCTGGTCATGGAGAAATACACCCAGAGGCTGCACACTGAGGTGAAGGGAAGTGCCCAGCAGCCATTCCCCTGCCTCCCACCTGCTTCATTCATTCCTTTAGTCTGCACACAATAAGTGCTCACTCCATCATGGTGGAGGCAGAGCTGCTTCAGGAAGGGCATCCTCATGTGTGAGGCAGACCTTATGAATAAGGAATGCGCCTAGCATGTTTGGAGATGGGCACGGTGGGAAAGAGAAAATAGACCACGTTGGGAAGGGAGGCACAGAGGCCTCAGTGAGGAGGGGACAACCCACAAAGACTTGAAGGGAGGGATACGTGGCCAAGTGGACATCCAGTGAAGAGTGCTCTAGGCAGAGGGAGCAGCCGAGGCAGAAGAATTGCTTGAACCCAGAAGGCAGGGGTTGCAGTGAGCTGAGATCCTGCCACTGCACTCCAGCTTGGGTGACAGAGTGAGACTCCGTCTCAAAAAAAAAAGAAAATCGACATGTTCTGATAGGCTTTAGAAGGTGGCTCTGGCTGCCCTTTGGAGAACAGACTCTAGGGGAACAGAGAGGAAGGAAGCCCTTCTCTTCCTGCTGCTTCCACTTCCTCCCCATAGGTGCATCCTGGCAGATGTGTTCCTTGGGAGAACACCACGTAGGGTGCATTTCCATCAATTGTAAGGGTTTTGAAGGACTAGAGAGACTTCATCCTAATCTGTTCTTAAGTAGCAGGTCCTTAGAGATTCACCCAGGTTTTCCTTTTTGTTTTTTTGTTACTGTTTGTTTTGGAGGGGAGGCCCACAAAGCCAGGTTCAATACATCAGTGTATCTAATGGCGACGCCCATCTTCTAATGTGGACAGCTGGGGATGTGGGATTACATCAGGTGTTGTGGTTAACTCCAGATCTCATTTGATCAGAAGTTCATTTGCCACTGGTGACATCACTAAGATACCTGATGGTTGCTGGGGTCTAGAAAGTAATTAAAAGGGCTCTGAGGACCCCTGGAGGTCGACTCTTCCATAGTTCTTTGATATTAAGAATCAAATTGCTGGCCAGGTGAGGTGGCTCATACCTGTAATCCCAGCATGTTGGGATGCTGGGGTGGGGCAGATTGCCTGAGCTCAGGAGTTCGAGACCAGCCTGGGCAATGTTGTGAGATCTTGTTTCTTGTAAAAGTACAAAAAATTAGCCAGGTGTGGTGGCGCTTATCTGTAGTCCCAGCTACTTGGGGGGGCTGAGGCACAAGAATCACTTGAACCCAGGAAGTGGAGGTTGCAGTGAGCCAAGATCACGCCACTTCACTCCAGCCTGGGCGACAGAATGAGATTCTTATCTCCAAAAAAAGAGAGAGAGAATCAACTTGCTGGCCAGGCAGCGGTGGCTCACCCCTGTAATGCCAGCACTTTGGGAGGCCAGGGCAGGTGGATTGCGTGAGCCCAGGAGTTCAACACCAGCCTAAACAACACAGGGAGATCCCATCTCTACAAAAAAGTACAAAAAAAAGAAAAATAGCTGGGTGTGGTAGCTCACACTTGTTGTCCCAGCTACTCAGGAGGCTGATGTGGGAGGCTCATCTGAACCCAGGGAGGTCGAGGCTGCAGTGATCTGTGATTGCACACTCCAGCCTGAGCAGCAAAGTGAGACCCTGTCTCAAAAACAAAAAAGAATCAACTTGCCTGGGCTTGTACGGTCCAACCCCATTGGAGGGCTCAGTCCCAGAGACCTTTCAGTATGTGAATCTGTTATGTTACAGGAAGGAAAATTGGTCTTCAGGAGGCCAGAGTAGAATTGGAGCTGAGCCCACGCCTACCCTAAAGGGCTAAGTGGGCCCCACTCCATAGGCCCCTTTAACAGCTCAGCTCTAGTGCCTCCATGTATCAAAGGTGCCAGTACAGGGCCACCTCCCCAGACTGGTTTGAATAATGAAACTGCAAAAACAGGCTGGCTCACACCTGTAATCCCAGCACTTTGGGAAGCCAATGCACGTGGATTGCTTGAACCCAGGAGTTCAAGTCTAGCCTGGACAATGTGGTGAAACCCCATCTCTGCAAAAAATACAGAAAATTAGCCAGGTGTGGTGGTGCACGCCTGTAGTCCCAGCTACTTGGGAGGCTGAGGTGGGAGAATCACCTGAGCCTGGGAAGTCAAGGCTGCCGTGAGCCATGATCACACCACTGGACTCCAGCCTGCGTGATAGTGAGATCCTGTCTCA